CATTCTCTGTAAACCCTAGAGATGGTTGTGCGTGAAAATCCCAGTAGATCAGCAGTCTCTGAAATACTCAGACCAGCCCGTCTGGCACCAACAACCATGCCACGTTCAAAGTCACTTAAATCACCTTTCTTCCCCATTCTGATGCTCGGTTTGAACTGCAGCAGATCGTCCTGACCATGTCTACATGCCTAAATGCATTGAGTTGCTGCCATGTGATTGGCTGATTAGAAATTTGCGTTAACGAGCAGTTGGACAGGTGTACCTAATAAAGTGGCCGGTGAGTGTATAGTGCAGCAATTAATCATGCACACTGTGTTCATGATGTGCTAATGTTTTGCAAAGGTCATAGGTTACACAGCTTATTTTTATGCAATAAATGCAGCTTAAGAAGTCATCCTCTCTTTGTGATCACTTTGTTTTAAGTCTTGAATATACAGAGCGAACAAAAATGTTAACGCAAATATAAATTGCAGACCTGCTGCACCATCTGACTGAAGCCGACCGCCAATATGCCATCGGGCGCCTCGTCAGTGTAGGATTTTTTCGGTGCATACCACCAGGCCTGAAATAATTCTAGGGGAAACACTGCCATTTATATGCATGACATGTCAGGTGCCACACTAATTTTGGCACACACGAGAGCTAGTGGTATTGATCATAGACAAAAAACTCCTGTCGGCCAGACCACATAAAAGACATAACTGAAGAACAGAATAAAGGAGTCAGTAGTTGTGTGACCAAAAAATGTTTTATTCATGTTACCTGTGTGTGGTGGGGATATATAACACTTGATAGCACTTCAAAGCCGATTTGTTTTTTCTCCAAGGGTAGAATTTCTAAAGAAATGAGAAAGCGGTGGAGATTCACTAGAATTTGTGTAAAAATAATTTAGCAGCCAAACTCTAGGTTCGGCAAGGGCTGTGGAGTTGAGTTACATTATCGATTGTCTTATTTTCTTTGTTTGTGTCCTCAGGGCATCCAACGCCTGTACGAGGACGGGGAGGAGCTAGAGGAGGCAGATGAGGGCATGGGGGATGAGCCAGTGATGGACGAGGAGGATGAAGAGGAAGAGGAGGAGGAAGAGGAGGAGAGAGAGAGGGATGGCAACGATCCGCAGAGCAAAGATTCCCTCCTCCCCGAGCGTCGCTCCCGACGTCTAAAATCAGAGGTAAACGAGGCAACTGAAGTGTTAAAGGACCCCTATTCTACCACCAGGTGTGATGTTGATTAGGCGTTACAAGACATCTTAAAATCTATCAATTAGTGACATCAAGTAGTACACCCAGATGTATGATAGAGAATGAATCTACCAATTGGTACAGTCCAGTGGGTAGGCTGGTAGGCTGATCCAACTATCATACGTCTGGGTGGACACTTCCCACTTGTGATGTCACTATAGATTTGATTTTGAAATGGTTTGTAAATAAGGGCCTTTATAAGGTGATGGGTGAGAAAAGGAAGAAGGGTGTTTGGGTATGATGTGATGTTTAAGCATGCGTGCAAAGTCCCCTTCTCCATACGTCATCCCATAAAGACATTTATAAAATCTCATCTAATAAGTTATACCTATTTAACAAAAATGGAAGGAGTCAGTATGTATCTATGTATGTCTGTATGTCTGTCCCTCGATTTTCTCAACAACCATCATCCAAGCAACTACACACTTGGCGGGTGTATTGCTGTGGTCCCAAGGAAGCACAGTGTTGTGTTGATGATTAGAAGAGCTGTTCTCGAGACAGCAGCAATACTGGAGGCCAAACAATCGGCCGGTTCCGAACAGGCATGTTTTAAGCGGGCACTGCGCTAGTGTGAGTGAAAAGGCCGACTGACTCATGTTTCAAACTGACTGGTAAATCTGCAAATGTAACACCACACGTCTCTCATACTCCTTATTTCCTATATAAGAAGACGGACAGGAATTAGATGTAGTTGAGGTGCATACACAAAACATTTGACAGTAGCCATCGACAGGACAATCTGCAAACCTACAGACAAAAAATGTGATAGAAAATCAACTAAACAAACAAATGAAAAAGACCGCAGCACCCTATAGGATAACCTAGTTTGCCAGCCGGGTCAACAGAGATGCCTTACTTATAGCATGCCATCATCCCCAGTGTTGGTCCCTCACACCTGGTGCTTTCTCTGTCTTCCAGAGAGAAAACAAGAAGCCCAAAACTCTGAAGATATTCGGGGTGGACTCCAGGATGGTGGGCTTGGAGATTGTGCCAGCAGGTAGGGAAATTAACCAGACAAAGGAGGGTTTAGATGCACGGCAAGGGCTGGGAGATGGAGAAGAACAGATTATCTTAACCGTCGATATTATGGGTGCTCTGATCAGGATATTTGACACAGATCGCTTGAAGCAGTATCACAGGGTCTATTTGAAGCCTTCTATAAATCAATAGGATTATTTTGTTATTTAACTATTCTTAACAACGTTGTATATTGAAGAGGCAGTGAACCCAAAATCGTTTTTTTGTTTTAAACATGGTAATATGACTTATATTGTATATTATACTCTTTGGACTGTTTTAAGCAGCTTCTAAAAACCCATCTTTATAGGCAAGCCTTTCTATAGTTCTCCAGCCCTGTCTTATCTTTTGGTTTGTTTAAATTTGGTCTGTCTTTCATTCTGCTGTATTTTATATTGTGATTTATTTTTTACCTTATTTCTTTATTAATTTATGTTTTTGTGTATGAAGCACTTTGTAACTGTGTGTTGGCTATATAAAAAATGGCTATATAAATAAAGCTTTACTTACTTACATGATCTTCAACATAGTAATCTGTGCCATGTTGTCACTGTTACTAAAATAAGACTAAAATAAGTCATTTAAAGCAAACAGGTGTAAAATCATCTTTTTGCCAGTCTCAGACAACCGTTTGTGAAGGTTCTACTCGGCTCAGAACTCAAGTTGCGTTCTTTTCAAAGTCAAAGTGTCTTTTCCCTGACGAAGGGACACCGGCAGCTAGGTGTGTGTGGATGTGTGGAGCTCCGTCTGGGCAGCAGTTGACTTTGATGGCCGTGTCCGAGAGACGGGTTAAGCTTCTCGGCCACTTATAGTGTCACGGTGTGTCGCGCATTTCATATACAACATCGCTCATTATAACGCTCATACACAACGACGGTGCTAGCTTAAAAAAAGTATCACAAAGTTGGCATGGACCGTTACCATGGGGCTAACATGTTTCCCCTCCTTCCTAGAACTCTCAAAACTCTTTTTTTCTTTTTTAAATCTGTGTTCGAATTCGAGCTGAAACAGGGGGTTCACACTTTAAGTATTAAAATTAAGAGATGAGAAAGTATCATGAATTGACAACCGTTTTTTATTGGCAGGTAACATGTGCATTGTGCAACATATTCAACAGACCGGTGAAGCCATTTTAGCAGCACATAGAAAAATTCTCTTGTGTGTTTTGCATCATCTAATCGGCTCTTCTGATCAGCTTTTATAGAGACCACCGATCCAACTATTTAGAACGAACATTGGCCGTTAACGATCGGGGCATTTTGCACTGTCCTCTGCAAGTACAACCATTGTTTGCCTTGCATAGATTAGTCCTCCGACACAAACGTTTTGATAAACTTGTGTTTTTCATAACAGTAATGTTAAAGCGCTGGCGTAGTTTTTGACGCTGGTGTGTTTCCGTCCTCCACACAGACGAGGGGCTTCATAAGAAACAGCGACATCTCAAGGCTCAGGCGTTTGCCATCAAGATGAGGCCCCGCAAGGACTCTCTGGAGGTCAACTTTGTGAGTATTTTCACCACTAGAAGACACTATGACACTATGAGGGGCATCTTGCGCAAGGATGCCTACAGGGCTACAGACATTGGAGATCGAACCCAGAACCTTTTGGGCTGGGAGACTAATCTTAACTGCTGCCCCCTGGTTACACCCTTGTCATTTATTTGTCTTAGATGAGATCAAATTGATTAATCTCTGACGGAAATTAAATGTACATGCAGAATGTAAATGTAAACATTACTGACAGTATATGGAGGACTAAAAGTGCCAAAATTAAATAAATAAATACACCATTCAATAATTACTTAAATGTGTCATTAATTAATTAATATTGGAATTAAATACATAAATGTGTCATTAATTCATTAAAATACCGATTCATTTTATGTTAAAAAAAACAAAAAACAACAACATATATAATCATTTCACTATTTAATTAATTTACATTTTCATTTCATGATTTACATTTACATTTCATGATCCTGTGTTGCAGTGCTTCATGAATTGTCAAACTGTCAAACTTGCCCATCAAAGTTGGTAGGCGGATCCTAATGCCTGATTGGTTACCCTGCGCATCAAGTCAAGGCAAATCAATTCCAGATAATGGATTGATGCAGAGCTAGTGAACACATTCCAATACACTGGGTGGCGCTATTCCCCTCTACGTTGGTTTAGATACTCTATTAAACACAACTTTCTGGTCCTGCTTCCACATCCTCTGCTAAGTCTAAAACGTCTCTCACCATCTCCCTAGAAAGTTCATGAAGATCCTCCATTTTCTCTAACCAGGCACTCTGCTTCAGACCAAAGCAATGGATCAGACTAGATTAGCGTTAGCCCCACCCACTGACTTTGATGGGCGAGTTTGACAGTTTGACAATTCATGAAGCACTGCAACACAGGATCATGAAATGTAAATGTAAATCATGAAATGTAAATGTAAATTAATTAAATAGTGAAATGATTTTATATGGGGGTTTTTTTAACATAAAATTAATCGGTATTTTAATGAATTAATGACACATTTAAGTATTTAATTCCAATTTTAATTAATTAATGACACATTTAAGTAATTATTGAATGGTGTATTTATTTATTTAATTTTGGCACTTTTAGTCCTCCATAACAGTAGAGCTAAACATTATTATGTATATACAGTATGTTGGATTAGGGGGCAAGACAGTCTAAAAGTTAGGCATCCTTGAGGAAGATGCCCTGCTCATTCATGTGATGTATCTGGATTCACTGTGGTTCTGTGTAGCTCAACTGGTAGAGCATTGCATTAACACTGCCAGCATTAGGGGTTCAATTCCCTGTCTAGCCCAACTGGTAGAGCATGGTATTAACACTACTACCCATGCTAAGAATATATCCACTCACAGTATTGTAAGACACTTTGGATAAAGAGCATCCACTAAATGGCATATATTTGTTATTGTTGACATTATGTCTGACACACACGTCTGTGTTGTTTAGATCGATCTGTACCTGTGCCTGGTGTGTGGGCGTGGCGACGAGGAGGAGCGCCTCCTACTGTGTGACGGCTGTGATGACAGCTACCACACCTTCTGCCTGATCCCGCCCCTACAGGATGTCCCCCGCGGCGACTGGCGCTGCCCCAAGTGTGTTGCTGAGGTAATGGAGGGATGCTCTCGTGGAGTCTGGAGGTTCTTATAGTAAACACTGAGCCAGGGCTGCAGATACTGATTCATCTGGAGTTAGAATTCTTTCTTTTTTTAAGTATTGCTAAATGCTTGTGTATGAATGCTGCCTTGATTTCTGTTTTGACATACACATTTTTTTTTAAAAAGACAAATTGTTAACATTTAAGCCATACTACAGATACCGATTTGACATGCTCGCTTCATTGAGTATGTTATTTTTTAGGTTCATTTTTTTGATTTCTGAACAAACAAAACCATACAGGATATATAATGTCCATGAAGGACATTAACCCTCATCAAATATATTTAACATTAAACATACATACATGCATAGCCTAGAAATCTAGACGCCCCTAGCGGCAGCAAATTTAATTTGCAGCCAGGGGGGTCTAGCACTTCTCCGTCGTTTTTCGGTGCTGGAAACAGAAAATCTGTCAGGCCAATCACAGCGTGAGGGGCGGAGTCGGAAACCGGGCTACCTAATGACGACAGAGTTGCGACGGTTCCGTGTTAGAGGTTATATTATTCTGGCAAAAACGGCAACAGTCGTTGGGCTCCATTCTCTCAAGATTGTTTGCTTACAGTTTCCACAATACACTTTCTTCATACTATTCTTCCACAATCCACCATACGGAACACTTCCCCATGGACTAATTTCCGTCGCTCTGACTACGTCACCTTCTTCGTTGCTCTGATTGATTGTAGCGCTATCCTATTGCGTGCAGAGGGAACTTGAAAGACAACCGTTTATCCCGCCCACACTGCCAATGGAGCAATGCCAGACCCTACATCTTTCTGATGTGGGTCTGGCTTGCCAGGCTAATACATGCATGCATACAGTGATTTTATACAAAAAGACAAAATAATAGCTGTACACATGTCTCATGCAAAACTACCCATGGACACTTACAGAAATAAAATAAAATACTATGAAATGCCATGCTAGTTCCGTTGCTCATGGTATACAATACTGGTGGTAACAATACTGGTGATATACAATAATGTGTTGATTTTATTTCATTTCTAATACCAAAGCTATAAACAATTATGGATGTGTGTGTGTATATATATATATATATATATATATACCATATATATATATATATATATATATATTAAGGCTGTCAAAGTTAACGCGTTATTAACGAGTTAACGCAACATGTCTTTAACGGCACTATTTTTTTTAACGCGCGATTAACGCTGTGACATTTGAACCTCGGGCCACTCCGTAGCTCGGGAAATCAGGAAGCAATGCACACGAGGTCGATGCCGCAAACAAACTACACAACACGTTCTCATCCCAACTCGTAATATACCGACGATTTGTCACGCCCCTAGACGCGTCCCGTTCGCGTTGGTAAGAGACGAGCAGAGTCTACAGCGTCCGCTCGCAGAGCAGAGTCTACAGCGTCCGCAGTCTACTGTGAAACAATTCACTCCAAAAAGGGTTAGGGTTATGGTTAGCGTTAGGGTTATGGTTAGGGTTAGGGATAGGGTTATGGTTAGCGTAATCTATCGCCGTGACCGGGTTATTATTGGAGTGAATGGACGCTGTAGACTCTGCTCGTCTCTTACCACCGCGAACGGGTTTATGAGAACCCAGATCGTTTCACACAGACGCGGGAGGGTACCTTTTGTGTCAATGTCAGACGTCTAGGGGCGTGACAAATCATCGGTATATTACGAGTTGGGATGAGAACGGGCTGAACTACAACCCCGTAAGCAGTAATGGATAAAAAATGTGGGGGGGGTGCGCACGCGATCGTCACACACCCCGGGGGGGGGATACCGGGCAATTGCCCGGTATGCCCGATGGCCAGTCCACCCCTGCCCGGCGCCCCCTCGCATGAAGCAAACCACGCTGGATAATTTGAAAGGGAAACAGCTGGACAACTCTACAAGCCGCAAACACTTTATTTATTTTAAATTATTATTTTCTTTAAGTTATTTTGTGTATCACCCTGTTTGTTTTGAATTTGATGCAAATTGCAATGCAATGCATTGAGGGGCATTATTTTGTGTTAATTGGCTGCTTAAACAAAAATGAGGATGAATAGATCAAATGTGAAGTTCAACACACTACTGTGTTAGTTAACATTACTATGCAGTTTGCACGTTAGTTACTTGAATTGAGAGTATTTCTCATTGTAACAATAAATAAACATGCTTTTTTTGCATAAAGCAAGCATTTGTCTATTCTCATGTTGAAAAGAGTATTACCTCATCAATCATGCGATTAATCGAGTTAAATATTTTAATCGATTGACAGCCCTAATATATATATATATATATATATATATATATATATATATATATATTAGGGATGCAACGGTACAGTTTTGCCACGGTTCGGTTTGTATCACGGTTTTTGGGCCACGGTAACGGTTCGGTTTCAATATATCAATATTATCTTGGCTCTAGCATACAGGAGGTTATATTTGCCTTTTCTATTTCAAATCAACAATGTGCTTCTACTTACAGAGAAAATATTAAATGCATAGCCAGACACAGATGAAGCAGAATCACAAAAATGTATTATAAGAAAAGAACACCATCATTGCCTTCTGTCATAAACAGGCAATATTATCCATAGTGAAGTGCAGCATAAAGTAATGTGTAATTATTTACATTATTCAATAAACTCACTCTTCTTCACACATTTAAAGAAAATACTTAACTGTTATACTAGGGTGACCATATTTCCTGAACCTAAAACCGGGACACTTTGCGGGGGGCGGGGGGGGTGCTGGCGGAACATTTCGGTTGCGCGATTGACAACAGGGGACATTTCATAGTGGTTGGTGGAAACCGGGACACTTTAGCGTCCCGATTAGGCTTTTGTCGGGACTCGGGACACGCAACTCAAAATCGGGACTGTCCCGGTAAAACCGGGACGTCTGGTCACCCTATGTTATACACCCTCAAAAAAGTAGTGAACAATTCTGACACACACTTCGTACAGTTCAGGAACAATCTTACTGCTGAAATGCGTGCGGGAGGGGATATTGAAGCGATGATCGAGAACATTTATCATGTAGCGGAATCCAGTGCTTGCACACTGTGCTTTGTTTGCTGACGGTCTTTTTGCCTTGTTCGTCATACTCCACGCTGAAGCCAAAAATGTTCCCATACAGCGGATTTATAAGATGACGGTGCCTCTTCAAATTTCCTTTTCTCTGTTTCGCGTCCACTCGCCATGATCATGCATGCAGCCGCCCGCCGGTAAAGTTTGTTTCTTCTCACATGGCTCCCCTTCATTTGCATTTCAACGCGCTTATTGGGTCTTGGGAAATTCAGTAAAATTCTGATTGGTTGTTGCAAGGTTGAGGAGAGGCAAGCTGAACAGTCAGAGAAAACGCATCCCCTGGGTCCTAAGCACTCCTTGCTATCGCTCCCAGGCTACGCGCGCGCAATAACCTTGTATTAAATAAAAAGTTTAATGTCGCGTATTACCGAAATATTGCGGTTTAGGTGAGTCTATCGAACCGAACAGGCCAAACCGAACGGTTCAATAACATATCGAAAACCGTTTCATCCCTAATATATATATATATATATATATATATATATATATATATATATTAGGGCTGTCAATCGATTAAAATATTTAAGTGCGATCACATGATTGTCCATAGTTAATCACAAATGAATCGCACATTTTTTATCTGTTAAAAATTTGCCGTAAAGGCCATTTTTATCAACATGGGAGTGGACAAAATATGCTTGCTTCATGCAAATGTATGTATGTAGTGTGTGTCCAACCTTTTTTCCAGCATTAACACAAAACAACGGACTGAAACAATCGAGGGAACCACACATGTCAAGCATTTACCAATATGCTCAACTCCTGGCAAACTCAAGCCCAAGAAACTGCATTTCAAAAAACAGACAAAGTATAGCCTATTTGCAGTATCCAAGAGTCCTATTTCTGTAATGTTCTTTCTTACTCTTTCCACTGTTTCCTGCTCACTTTATTACCTAATTTCTTTAACGCATTGACACTGGTAATGGCTTTTTTAGATGGGTGCGATGCGAGCCCTCTCGACATTAATTTTCAATGAGAGACGAGCGCCGCGGAGTGGAGGAGCAGTACCTTGTGGTCAGATTGCTAGTTGCCATCCGTCTCTCATTGAAAATGATTGTCTAGCGGGTGCAACTAGCAATCCAACAAGGTACTGCTCCTCCGCTCCGCGCCGCTCGTCTCCCATTAAAAATTAATGTCTAGCGGGTGCGCATCGCGCCCGTTTAAAAGGCCAGTACCTGCGTTAATTATAAAAAAGTGGCGTTATTAATGCGTTTATCGCCCAGCCCTAATATAATAGGGCTGTCAATCGATTCAAATATTTAATCACGATTAATTGCATGATTGTCCATAGTTAATCGCGATTATTTGCACATTTGTTATCTGTTCAAAATGTACCGTAAAGGGCATTTTTCAAGTTTTTAATACTCTTATCAATCTGGGAGTGGACAAAATATGCTTGGATTATGCAGATGTATGTATATTTTTTATTGGAAATGAATTAAGAACAAAATCACAGTGTAGTGTGTCCAACCTTTTTTCCAGCATTAACACAAAACAACGGTCTAAACAATCCAGGGACCCACACAGGTCAAGTATTTATCAATATCCTCAAATCACAACTCATGGCCAGCTCAAG